CCTGTCTCAGTGTGTCCTTCAGTGCATCTCTGGCCCTCTTCAGCTTGTCTTTCTGCTGTTCCAGGTGGGAATTCTTCTTCTTCATCCTCATCTGGTCGAGCTCCAGTTCAGCCACCAGTCGCTGCAGGACCAGCAGTCTGTCCTCCACAGCCTGAGGAGACACATGTCCTCCATCACACTACAGATGATGGAACAGAACCCATCCAACCAATCAGAAGTTAGACTGACCTCCTCTGGGTTAGAACCAGTCCTGAGGTTTGCTCGCTGCCTGTAGCCAATCATGGCGGCCTCTGTCCGCTCCAGAGCCAATCGGAACCGGTCCCGCTCCTCCTCCAGCTCCTTGTTCCTCTGCGTCAGCATGTAGAACTGGACAAGAAGAATAATGAAGGAGGAGGAGGAGCTGTGCTACTCTCAGCTCAGATGAAGGAGTCCATGTTACCTCAGACTCTTTCTTTTGCAGCTCCTTCCTCAGCTGCTCCTTCTCAGAGGAAACCTGCTCCTCCTCTTCCTCTTGCTCCTCCTCCTGAAACAGAAGCTGCAGTTAGGAGGACTTCATTCAGGAGGTTGAGGAACGTTCTCAGTTAAAACTCACATCCTCTCCTGTCTGGACGTTTCTCCTCCTCAGTCCATCCATCTGAGCTTTCTGCTCCTCCATCAATGCTGTCAACCTTCTCAGCTCTTCTTGACTCTCCTGGATCCTCCTCCTTGCCTCCTCCTCCTTCTCCTCCATCTTGGACCTCCACTCTCTGTCTTCCTCCTCCCGTCTACTCCTTAGTGTCTGGATCTCTATGTGCAGAACCTCCTGCCCTTTCTCCAACTCTTCCACTTGACTCCTCCACCTCCCCTCAGCCTCCCTCCTCCTCTCCAGCTCCTCCACCACCTCCTTCCTTCTCTTCTCCAGACCTTTGACTCTGGCCCTCAGCTCCTCCACCTCCTCCTTAGCCGCCTGCTTGTTCTCCTCTCTGATTTTCTCCATGTCCTCCTTCTTCTGGGCCAGCGCGCTCCTCAGACGCTCCCCCTCGTTGTGGCTGTCCTGGGGGAGGAGTCAAAGAGGAGAGACATTATGACCTCATACTATAAGGGGGGCATCCAACAGGAGGCGCCCTACCTGAAGGAGAGCCTTCAGAGTAGTCATCTCCTCCAGGGCCACCCTTAGGCCTTCTCTCATCTGCTGGCTCTCCTCCTCCTTCTCCTTCACCTCCTTTCGTGCTCGCTCCCGGCTGCGGCTCAGATCCAACACCTGGAACAGAGTCAGACTTAGCTTTCACCTCCTCTGCTCATCTTCGTCCTCCCCCTGGGATGGTTCTGTACCTGACTCTTCAGGGAGGTCAGGCTCTCCTCCATCACCTCCATGTTTTGCTGAACACCTTTCAAGTCGTCTTGCACCTCCTCCCTCCTCTGGCGCTCCTCCTTCACCTCCTCCTGAAGGTCTTTGACCTCATCTCTCCTCTTCTGCAGCTCCTCCAGGAGCTCCTGTTTTTCCTTTTGAACCTTCTCTTGAAGGAGAGACACCTCCTTCTCACTCCTCCTGTGAGCCTCATGCACCTCCTCTTTTAGAGCCCTTACCTCCTCCTCTTTCCTTCGTAGCCCCTCCTCTATCTGCTCCTGTTCCTTTTTCACCTCCTCAGCAATGACTGCCAGCTCGCTAACCTCCGCCCTACTCTTCCTCAGTTCATCGCGGATCTTTTCCTCCTTTTGTTGCTCCTTCATCAGCTCCTCTTGGAGCTCCTTTTTGCTCCTCAGTAACTCCTGCTGGACCTCCTCCAACTTCCTCCACTCCTCTTGCCCCTTCTTCCTCATTACCTCCTTAGACCTGAGTTCCTCCTGCAGCTTCCCATGGGCCTCCTCCTTCACTCTGAGCACCTCCTCTCTGAGAGACCTTACCTCCTTTTCAAACATCTCCTCCTTTTCCTTTTGCTCCTTTCTCAGTTCAGAAAGCTCCTGTTCTACCTCCACTTTCTGACTCCTAGCCATCTGTGCCTCCTTCCTTTCCCTCTGCACCTCCTCTCTCAGGAGAGCTGCCTCCTTTTTGCTCTTCAGCAGCTCCTGGCGGATCTCCTCCGTCTTCATTAACTCCTCTTTTTCATTTACTACCTCCAGTCTCAGAGCAG